TTCCGAAGGAACCCTTTCGTTTCGGTGATGGGGCGAAACGAACTTTCTGGTTTCCCTCACGGTTTCTTGAGGGGGAGGGGGATTGTCTGTCGGGAGACTTTTTGAAAGGGGCCTCTTTTGGTGGTCGTGGGGAGGACCACCGCCTGCTATTCTCGCGCCGGTTTAAGGTGAAGCCTTCATTTGTGAAAGATTGCCTCCTTGGGGAATAGCTTCTGCTCTTGACCCACCTTTTGGGCGAGTTTGGGCAACTTTGACTTTGATATCTTGGGTAGTTGAAGTGATAACGCGTCTGTGCTTGGAATGGCGAGCGCTTCCTCTGTTGAGAATGTTGAGGGGTTCTCTCTTTCCACTGTTGATTCTGGTGACAGAGGATTAAATTGTGCGGGCCGCCACACTGGGCACAACTTTGCTTCCTGCAGAGAACTGTGGTGTGTCTACGGCTAAAGCACTTCCAACAAGCGTTGAGCTCGCGTAAGCGCTCTATCTTCTGCTTGATGCTGGCGTATTTGTGACAATACTGGAACTTGTGCTGTTGACCGCAGCCCGTACAGTATAGTTTCGGTATCACGGCTGTGGTCGTGTGGAAGATTGAATGTTCATCGTGAAATGGTTCCCTTATACTGTCCACGTGTTCCTCACGTTTGATAGCTATTGTCAGATTCTCCAGGAGATCTGTCATACTCCATAGAGTTCCTGAATCAAACTCTTTTCTGGCCATTTCATTTTGAACGTTTTTGGAGAATGTTTCCAGGACCATCGCTCGCATATTAGTGGTGTTCACCTCCTCTCCTTGCTTCTCCAAAGTGGCTATAATAGCCTGTATGTCACTGAGGTTATTCCTCAAGGAGCGGTGGTCGCCTTGACATTTCTTCATGGATTTGAGTTTACGAATCATGTGCATGGTTACCCGCCGTGGATCTTGGTATTGATTCTTTAGTTGAGTGACCGCTCTCTCGTAAGAGTCCCCCGTTCTTGGTATCATTTGAAGTGTTCTTGCTGCATCTCCTTTGCAGCAGTTGAGCAGAATGGACAACTTCTCAATATTAGAATAGGGCTGTTTGTGCACCAGCTCCTCGAACAACTCCCAAAAGGAATCAAACTCTGCGGGGTTGCCGGAGAAGTTTGGGATCTTGAGCTCATTACCGAGAAGCCTCCTTTCCATGGACCAACTGTAAGGTAGTGAAGGCAGTTGACCTGAGCTTTGTGGTTGCTGTTGATTTTGATGTGACGCTGTTTGATCCGCTCTTGTTGTGAGATCTAGTTTCAGACTCACTTCTTGACATTGAAGTTCCACCAAGCGCTTCTCCAGTTTACGCTCCACTTCCTCAGCGTGGTTGAGTATGGTGTCCCCTTGGCGCGCAGACCAGTACTCATCGAACTGTTGTTCGACCTCGGATTTGAGTTCCTGAGGGAGGTCGTTGATGTTCTGGTTACATTCGGTATAACATTGAGTGATGGTTTCTCTGCGCTGAGCAATCTTGGACATCAAGTTTTTGATGAGCATATTCTTTGAAATAAGAAAAAGATGCAGCTCTTGAGCTTGAACTGGGAAGTTCCAAGGTTCTTGAAACTCGAGAGCTTCTTGCAGTAAGCCGGAAAGGGCATTAAATTGCCAAGTCAGCTTCTGCTTAACTGTTTTCAGGGAAAACGATGGCTGTGGCATAACCATTACGTCGTGATGATGATGCTTTGTGGAAGCACTGCGGCTATCTCGTGCGACTGCCAGTGCGATAAGGACACGCAGGCAACGCTTATATGAGATATCGTTATCATCGCTGTTTATCTAAATGAAACTTTCCTTGGAATGTTGTGAGAATTTATGACGAGAACGTGCGCTTCTCCAGCTGTTGGGAAGGAATGTTTTGAAAGATTTATTATCCGCCATTTTGTTTTGAGAGCAGTGAAATCCTCCATAGAGCATATTTTCAAGATTGAATTCTCGGGATACCGAATTTTCCGACTGTTACTCCTTCCTTTTCCCAACGGAGTGGGGCATTGGGAGCCGTCCGTGAACGTCTGATGTGGTAGTTATTATAACAGTATACGACGATTAATCGCAGCGGGTGAAATTTGCTCACTCATAGAGTAGCGAAAAGTCTGAGAAAAACAGCACTGGAATTGCCGTTTCGCATGCATCTAGTGCTTCAGAATTATTCGTAGAGAAATGGGCGCGCGCGCGATCAGCGTTGCCGTAGAGGCAGTTAAAGCTGCTATATGCGGACATGTCGAGAAGCATTCGCGAATGCACATAACAATATAACTGACAAAAGGAAATATGTAAACAGGTACCTGATTTTGGCCAGACTATCGGACTGCCACCGGGATTTTGACTGAGTTGCCTTCTCATCACAGTTGTCGTTACCGCGGTAGAGTGTAAACGAGTTAGTCCGCTAAACAAATGAAAACGACGAAATAAAATGGAAGCACAAATGAGATCGACGGAGTTCTGAACAGCCCATGCAAGGGTACATTTAGGACATGCAGTTTGGGCCCTAAACTGCACGCCGTAGAAACTGAAGGTGCATGGGTGTAAAAATCCGTCCTGTGGTCCTTTTGTTGGTTGTTTTTTTTTCTACCTTATCTGACGTTTCCTACCACGTACTTGGACACTCTGCAATTGATCTTGCTCTATCAATGGGCGAATGCCAGTCTCGAGTTGAGTATGGTCCTCATTATTGCGGTCATTTTGAGCATTGAGTATTGAGTTTTCCTCGAAGGAGGACTTGAAACGTGACTTACGTTGTACGTTGAAATAGAAGGTGTCGTAAACGAAACGTAGAACCGTTCGGCCGGTACCATGTTCTGAGGGCATCACTCCTCAGATGTGGTTTTGGTGGTTCTTACAATATTACACAACAACTTAGAAACACGTATTTATTTTACACTTACTACTAGACCAATCTCAATAGAATATTAACACACGGACTACAACTTTGACTGCTCACTTGAAGTTCTTTGACAAGAATTTTGACTGGGTTTGGCTTCTTGACTACTTGAGATTGAAGCTCTGTTTCCTCGGCCGTTGGGTCCCTTCTCCCAACCTCTGCGGGTCCGCCCTCTTCTAAATAGTGCTCGATCTCCCACTCCACTCCTGGGAATCCTCGATGCGAGCTGACGCTGACCGACTACGCTCTGTTCTAGGACGTATATCTCCGACTGACTAGAGGGCGTTCCCCACGCCTGATTTCCTGCCTCCCCCGCGAGGGCGGGGATTAGAGACTCGCATCATGAACATAGTTCATGACAGGTTCGTATTCCTCGTCGATGTTGTCGATGACGGAATCCTCCCAGAGCCCAGCGAGAGAAGTGAAGTGATCCCAGTTGATGAAGGTCTTGGGGCTTCGCTTCTTGAACTTTGCGGCTCTCTCTCCTCGCATCGAAAAGCGGAATCTTGCGCGAAGGAGATGGTGGTCGGTTCCTGTGTAGAACTTAGGAGCAACAGCGACTCGGTCAGGCAAAACCTTCGATTGAAGATGATGTGGTCGATCTCATTGTCGTGCTCCTGCTCGACCATCTACACCACTTAATCTGAGAAGAACTTAAATGCCAAACGAACATTTTCGGACAGCGGACGAGCGTCGCGGTTATTGCATGGGTCGCGTTGAATCTGGCGCGAGGGAGGAGAAAATTGGAAGTTGAAACCTGCAGAGTTTGATATATTGGAAGGTGAATGAGTAGTTTCCCATATGTTCCTTTCTCCGTTTGCAGACCGTTCATGGAGTCACTTAGACATGAGCTACAATCATAGACACACTCACGCAGCGCAAAAAAGTACACGGATTCTAAAGCCTCTGTCGTACGGAACCTTATGTCGGTTTTTTTCTGAGTTTTTAGAATCTTTCATGAGCAAAGATAGAAATTTCGAAGACATAAATCTAGTGCGACAGGGTTAATGGGTACTTCATAAGGGTGAAGTGCTAGCAAAGGAGGTGCGCGGTAGTTCACTTTAGGACTGAAGGCAAAGATGACGACGAAAATATCTTTATCTCCATGTGATAACAAGAATCCTAGAAACACCAATGCTAGAGCAACTGAGTGGGTGCAATAGGATAACTGTTCCACATAGGTACATTTGAAGTATGTAAAAGTTCCAGAAAATACGTTTTGTGTTGTAGCACAGACATTCGTGAAGTGGCGCCCTAAACAATTTTAGTGTGATCGCAATTTTCTTTTGGATTCAAGGATAAATTGAGCGTTACGGTTAACAAAGTGGATAAAGAAGTGTCTGTGGTAGGACTCCTGAGATTCCAGAAAACTAGAAGTCCCCCCAATTTGAAGTATGTTTCAGGGTTTCATAGCTCTCGATCGCATCATTTCCTACAAATCAAATGATGTTCTCGCTCCTACGAGTGTCTCGTGGGTTACGGGGCTGTTGTCAATCAAACGTGCTCTCGCTGCGAGGGTCCAGGGTTATATTTCACGATGGCATCTACCAGTCCAGTAGTTGAAGGGAGAAGGTAAAGGAGGAGGGATCAGAGAAGGGAGGAAGAAAAAGGAAAGAGAAGAGAAGCCTCTCGGTTTACAAGTGCCCTGAGACGGTCCAAAAATGTTCGTTTGTGGCATTTAAGTTCTTCTCTTAATCTGAACTCTCTACTGATTTGAGGAAAGTTTTGAACTTCCGGTCAACACACAACACACACACACACGCCTAGCGGATTATATGGTTGAAAGAAATTAGGCCTTTGCCTTTCATACGGCTACCCACCATTTACGTACTTTAAGGAGAAGTCTGAGGGGACGCAGATAATCGAAATATGCCGCGAAATTTCATTAATCAGACGTTAATTATGCTGTCTCCTACGCAGATGCACCACTGACGAGCATTGGACGTCCCAATTTAAAGCACACACATTGTGCTGTGAATTCCGAAACATCTTCTGTACTGGCGTCAAGAACTAGTTGAGAAATTCTTTGTATGGTAGGATGGCCCTCTGAAGCTTGTGCTATGCGCTGATTGCTATTTCTTTCGTCAAGCATCCGTCTGACAGCAAATATACACAATGTCAAGAATTAATGTGGTCGAGTTCGGATTCTCTGGTGTTGGAGGGGTACACTATGCTTTGAAAGGTATGTTTTCTTATTTCTGTGTGCATCTTTATTTTATTGTCGTCCATGCATTTGTCAGAGACCGGTTTGGACTTCTGCGTGGTTGCTGCTTATGACATCAATACGACTGCCAATATGATCTATGCGTATAACTTCCCGAACACGCCTCTTTGTCAAAATAACATACAGGTATTGTGGAAATCTCAGTATGATGACATAATCATGTAAAGAAGTCAGACGCTAACACATAGTTTCGGGGTTGGAGTACGGATAGTCTCGCGGGAGACGTAGTCACCGTGGTCTCCACTAAAGCTCGGTTAGGGAAGGGATACAGAGGCGGTGGCGAGCGGTCCCCCCTCTCCAATTACGTCAGCCGCCAAAAGTCGAAGCTAACCTGTGAGATTAATGTGTAAAGTAGTTCCTTGGTTGTGCTAAGAAATGGAATGCACGATCTTATTCCAGACTCGTACTTTTCTTAGGTCCGTTCATACATTTCGACGCCGTCGCCGACATCATCGGCGACAGTATTGATCCGAGGTACCTGACGTAATCGGCGACAAAATATTAGTTAGATACGTATAGATCCGACGTAGTCGTCACACCCGACGTAACCGACATTTCGAGGTCAGTCGATACGTAAGGCTGCGTTCATACTTTGCGGTGGCTTACGGCAGCGTTTCCAGCGTCCAGCAGCGCAGTGACTAGGAAAGCATAGATATAGATCTAGCGTCTACCAGCGTTCAGCCGCGTTCACCAGCGTCTCGATGGCTGGGGAAATACAAGTGTCAATCTAGCGCCTGCCAGCGTCCACTAGCATACCAGCTGCCGGGAGTCGGGAGTCATCGGGGAAGTAGGAGACTAGCAAAAGCTCGATTGGGCGTAGTGAAATTGCGGCGTGTGCAAGCACATCGCACAACTGCTAAAGCACAGAATTATGCAATTAAATGTACGGTGTAACGTGGTTGCGTACGGCTGCGTTAGCACCATGGCACATCTGTGTTTGAAGAATCCACAACAAAGGGGGTCGCATATTTGCGGCTGGGAAAAATTTATTTTGATAGTTTGCTTTCACGAGGTTGCTAAAGGGGGCGGGCCGTTTTCGTACTTTCTCATTGTTGGCCAGGGAGGAGTTCGATTTTTACGATCTTGGTGTTGTTAGGAGCGGTGGCCATGGTGGGTGACTTTTTAATGATTACTTCCTGTTTCATGAGACCGTAGCCGTATACCCCCCCCTTGCCCGCTCGACAGCAAAATTTTTGGGGAAAAGTGGGGAACTTCTCGGGAAATTTTGGAAAAAAGTAGCAGGAAGTTGGGAAAATTCTGAAACATCGGTATCTCTACGCTGGTACCAAACCTCATAGACTTTTCTCCCTATAGGCATAAAGCACGATAATTTGGTATTCGGTCTTAAATGGTAGTAGGGGTGCTCTAGGGAAAATGACGAAAAAGCGAAGCAAGCGGTCAAAAACTGTAAAAATGCCGTTGTTTTACACGACTCAGGAAGCAATTCTGGACGAGTTTCCCGTTGGCATCGAGCCAATAACCGCTACGGTAGATACGGCTGCATGGGTGTACTCATATATCCATGCAGCACCGCAACCGCTTCATATAAATACGAGCATCAGGTACGGGTCCCATTTAGAATCAGAATCGCAACATTTGGACAGCTAAAATCACCATTTGCCACGAATTTAGCTGAACTTGCTCTGCGTAGCTGCCTGATCGAGCACGAGGGTCATTGCAAAAGATCTCGGTAGGAAATAGCGAACGAAACAAGTTCAATTAAGCACTTACTCATTCGATATTCGGCGAACGTGTGACGACCTTCTCGGCCGATCTGATCCACATCATTGACTAGCGACACCAATGACCACAAATCGCAGTCATTTCCCGGAAGAAACCTCCCGATTCAAACGTCTAAATCAGTTTCGAACTGGTTAGGAACTGCTTTACGGTCAAGTGTTGGCATGCCCTAATGTAGAAACGCTGAATACCCTGCAATGCCTTTTTAGCCATGTTCGCGAAGAATGCAAAAAAGCAAATTCAATTGTATGACTTTGAAGGCCGTCACCCCGTGTACCCATGTTTCAGGTTCACACGAACCGATATACGACATGCTATACGATGCGACTGGCTAATCCGTGCAATAGTATGTGAAATAAGGCTGAGGCTGCGTTCATACTTTGCGGCAGCGTCCACCAGCCACCACTAGCGTTCTGAGCGTCCGACAGCGTCAGCGACTAGGAAACCAGTTAGCGTCTACCAGCTTCCATCAGCGTCCGGAAGTGGAGAGTATGAGGCGATAGGAAGGTAGCAGACAGCAGGTAACCTTCTATCGCCCATACTCTCCACTCCCTGACGCTGCTGGTCACTGATGGACGCTGGTAGACGCTGGTATACGCTAGATGGATATCTACACTTTCCTAACCGCTGGTGCTGCCGGACGCTCGGAAAGCTAGTGATCGCTAGTGGTTACTGCTGGTCGCTGGTGAACGCTGCCGCAAAGTAACGGAACCGGAGAACCTTCTCCGAGCTCTCTTAGGTCCTAGATGTTGACGCTCTTAGATGTTGACACCTAAGCAACGAGGAACATCAAAGCTGCAATAAAGCAACATTTTTGCAATGGCAACAAACCGTACAGGGCTGCAAGATTTTCCCCAAGAATATTTAGATCCTGCAGATCGATAGCGTTAAACCTATGAGGGCCCAACTTGCCGCCAAAGGTTCCGCTGCCATGTGCTCAAGGAAGTAGTTCTTTACTACTTCCTTGTGTGGCATGTAGAATACAGAGCATTCCTGTCCTGATATGCATCATACTTATTCTTCTAGGTTTATAAGCGTAATATAATTTTGAGTTAATGGGGAAGTTCCGCGATAATGGGGTGTGATTCCTAACTGCACATTTGAAGACTAGGTCAGGAGAGAATGACCGTTGGTGGAACATCATTGAGGCGCAGCAGTACGAACTGGCGGCTGAGGGCTGCACGCATGCCTCATAAATTGAAGGCATACACATTAATTTGATTTCGGTGCAAAATGGTAGCAGAGGATGCTATATAGTGTGAAAATTACGAAAAAATTGAAGTCAAAATGTCAAAAATCTGCAAAAAAGCCTTCCTCACGTCTTGGAAAGCAACTTCTGACGAGTTGCCTGTTGGCATCGTGCCAGTAAGCGCTACGGTAGATAAGGCGGCCATGTATGTGTTCATAAATCTGTGCAGCACCCGTGGTCACTTCATATCAATCCCTTCGTTTCATAGCGTATTTCGCAAATGGAGTGATACGAGCATCAGCATAGGTGAGACCTTTTTTGGGCGGAGGGTGGGGGGAGGGCGTGGCGGGGCGCGGGGGCGCGTGTGCGATGAGTGTCGGGTCGGTATGTTGCAGCTCGATGAAGAGTTATAAGGGTACCTCCCTTGGAAAAAGCGCTACGCATCGTCTGCTCAGGGACGTCAAAATCTGTCCTGCCATACGTATTAATCGTACTAATCCTACACGACTTGGGGATTCACCGTGTCACTTGAATTAATTACGACTATTACCGTGAGGGCAATCCGGAACATAGCTTTGATAGTCAAGAAAACATTACCACGCCTTGAGAAGAGATAGAGGGATGCCATAAAGCAGCGCCTCCTCGAACTCAAGGCTATGGCACGGTCATGGTTGGGAACACCAAAATTTGATGGGAGGAAGTGATAACGTCTAGCAAGGAAAGGGAAATCTTCCAACGCCACAGATCAACACTTTGGTGGAACAAAAGAAAAAGCATGGTCTGTACCGACCGACAACGCTTTACTCTTCATCTGGTACCTGGTAACTGGTAAGGAGTTTCCAGTTGCTTGATCAACTAGGGCTTCGTAAACTTTTCCAAATCCATGGAAGACAAATATAGGGAAAAATTACCTCATTCCATCCAAACCGGTCCCTGATCTACTTCTCGTGAGCTCAGACAACCTCAGGAATCTGAACCGTGTTCACAGATTCGTTTACTAAACCTTGATGAATTGTTAGCAGCGTCCGAAGCCCAATTTGCCGAACAGTCCATTTCTCGTTTCCGGTCTTTCCTTCTTTTCTAGGCATTCCGTCTGAGGGCACGTGCGAACCGGGAAATGCACACTTTTACTACTATCATATGTTTATATATTTGTTCATTTATTTACACTGTAATACTGTGCCCTAGAAATCAGTAAAACAAATCAAGCAGAATACTCATTAACCAATTTATGCCAATACGATGCAAGTCTAGTCTAGATAGCTGAACTTTGACTGGCTAAGAAAAAAAACCGAGTAGTTGCAACGGTCGGACTTGTGTTAGACTACAAGAAGGGCATGCAAGCATAGCTAAAGCCTACAAAAGAACGCAGCTATCCACACACGTTGGTAGGTGCCTCGTTAAAGACAGCTCCCGCGATAAAAGTCTCATGGATAGCTGCTTTCCAATTATGAAACAGTAGCTGATAAGTAATCTCCCAAAGAAGAAAACAGGCAAGAAGCGTCCTCCAGAACATAAACAAAATCGCTCCCTCACAGTCACACCTCCCTGCGGTCTCTGTGCAACCCCTAGCTCACAAATCTCTCTATCACATCTCGCAGTAGTTGATATCATCCAGTGCAAAAAAAGAATACAAAAAGAAAACAACAAAAACGCAGAGGAAAAACTCTTGGAAGGAAAAAGGAATTTTATCAACGCGGTGTCTGAATTTGGGATTACGGTAGCGCACGTTTTGTGCGTCGAGGTTTTGCATCACGAAAATTGCGTCACTCGTGTTTTTTACGCGTTTCACCTCGCGAAATGAGTTGAATTGAATGTATATACCTCCAATGAGTAAACTGTAATAAAGGGGAGCAGAATTATCCATGGGCATTAGCAATGCCCGCCGCCCCAACTAAGAACAACTGAGTGGCCTCCGTCGGAGGACATCTAGCAAGTAAAGGCGGTCCGACTGAGGAGGAGTTAGAACTAGCACTTTGAGCGGCTATAGCAGCCTCCACGCTCACAATAGAGTCGCGAAAGGTGAACAGTCTTCTAGCTTGGAGGCTAGACTACTTGCACAGCAAGGGCGACCATGGGCTACTCAAGCGCGGGGGCTGTCTAGAGAAAGTCAGTGAAAACATGTCAGAACTTCGGAACACGGGTACACCAACATCCCTCGTGGAATTGGCATGCTGGATAGAAGCGATGACAACATGGCTTGCGGGCTCTGAAACTTTCCAACACGAGCATCTAGGTTACCGAACGTCAGAAGCAGTGAGTAATCTGAACCCTATAATCAGAAGCTCACACCATACGGCAAACCAAAGCAGAAAAATACGATTGAACTACAACGATAGAAATGCAAAACCATACTTTGAGAGCAACACAACGCCTTTCAATGGGATAGAGGTAAAGAAGGCACAGTGTCAAGCTCCACATATGGACGTGACTGCATAAAGCGAACTCATTGACCGACAATAATACTGATGAACTTGGTAACAGCAAGTGCTTCGCGGCTAGACTGATGCTTGACGAACCCTGAAGAAGGATCCCAGTGTTGCTAACTGAATAGACTCAATTTAGACCGCCCAGCGTAACAGATTCATCATACTAATCTTCTTCAATTTACCCATGAATACCCACTATTTCCTGAACTAAGCAGTACGAGTAGAAGCTTCTCCAGCGTCCGGGCCGTGCGACAAATGTGTGAGAAAATAAAATTCCTCATGGATTTTTGCGAATGTAACCCAAAACTTCCGGTTCTCTCACTACAGGGTCTGAAGACCCAATACTTATCTTCAGCTTCGTCTCATTTTTCAGTATGAGAAAACACAGGGTGACGCCATTGACAAACCTCCCCTCTCTGAGATTCATCAACCCTAACCACCTCAGACGCCCTTTGTATTTTGGTTGTACTATACAAATAAAGAAGAGCAGGCAAGTTAGGGTCAGAACGTTCCGCATCAAAAGTATTTATTTAGGCTCATTTGATATCACAATAAATGCACAGTCCAACAATTAAGATTAGAAAAGTACGATCTGCGCTTTTGCCTTCCGTGAGCACAAAAATAGCTGTTCCACTTCACTCACATTATGCTGACCGCTACGAGTGTGGTTTTACGAGCATTGGAAAGGGTTGTGACGTCATTTTTTCTCATGCCCAATATCGCTTTGAACACATAACGGTATTCAGAACTCATGATGAAATAAATGTAATAATTCTGGCACATAATGAAGAGCGGAGGTATCACAGCATAAGTGTGGATCAACTCTCGGATCTCGGGATCGGTAGTGAAGGGAATTCGAGAAATGCCAGCTGCGGCAAACCTTAAATTTAGTAATTATGAGTTACCTCTAGCTTTAGGAGATTATGCCAGTGCACTTACCAACACACAACTGATATGGATACAACTGCGGAAGTCGATCGCAAAATTCTTCTGTGATACTTTGGGGAATGGCGCCTGGTTTCAACAGATGTATTCCTGTCTGGAATTCGACAATTATTCTCGCTTCGTTACAATATGCCACCTGTCCACTTTCTGAATAAGATCATTATCAACCGTTTGCAAATGAAAACTCGGATAAGTAAGTAAGTACGTACGTAGTAAGTACGTGCCACCTTCTACGCTCGCCGTAGCGCACGAAAGCATGGCTGCAATAGCGTAGCGAATATCCGCCACTTACCGTGTGCCCAGTGCTAGCCACACGCTCAGCCGCGGCCAAATGCGCTACTCGTCAGCGCCCTCTCACTTCTGGCTGTTTTCTGATGCTGCCTGCATGATCGTGGTGGGATCTAGGTATTAATGCAACTGCGGGCGCTAGTCTCAAAGGCCATGCCAGACGCGCTCAGCTCAGTACTAGGTCGGTCCGTATCTCTCCTTGCTGCAGGTTAGTTAAGCCCCCACCAAGACTCAGCTACTTACCCAGATCTCTCGCGATCCACACGTTGACGCCTTGAGGGCGAACTACAGGACGCGCTCAGTAGAGTTCAGTTCTAAGTACGACCCTTGACTTCCAGGCTTGTGAGGCGCGACCTCCCCACTTGCTCATACGTGCCTCTGCCGAGGGAGAGCCGCTCAAGTTGTTCGATATTTACGCTGACAATGGACTCTCTCTTCAATTGAATCGGAAACTGACAGCTGGCTGTGTGACGCGCTCTGTCCATACATAATTCTGCTCTCCCTTCATCCACATTTCAGTTCACCTCGGGAGCCACATAAAGTCAATCTGCCAAACTCATCTCGTAAAACTAAAACGGCGCGTAAAAATCACGAATGATGCAATTTCTGTGGTGCAAAAGCTCGACATGCACCAAAAGCTGCACACTGCACGTAACCCCAAATTCGGACGCCAGGTTTTTGAATTTTCCTTTTTCAAGGTGTTTTTCGCTTCCCAGGGGCGGCATAATAGGGGTTCGAGGGCCCGGGTGTGTGTTGTTGTTTTTCATATTTCTTTTCTTTGAATTGCGATGCTGTCCACTTACTGTTAGATGCCATAAAGCGAATTGGGAGCAGGGGTTGCCAGAACGCCCTGCCACACCGCCCCTGCGGTTCTTGGGCAACCCCTTGGCCCTCCAAGTCGCCTTTTATGGCTTTAACAGTAGTGGACAACATCCAATTCAAAGAAAAAGATTAAGGTGTGGCTGATAACGGAGCAATTTTATTTGTGGTGTTTTGAGGGCGCTTGTTGCTTTTTTCCCTCATTGAGGAACCTATCAGCTACTGTTTCATAATTAATCAGCAATTATCCTTGACACTCCCCTTTTTATCGCGGGCGGGAGTCTGTCTTTAAGCTTTGCCATAAACTACACCAGGGTATAATAACGCTTCGGTCACATTTCTGCGCGCCGTTAAGCTTCGGAAGTGTTAAACCTGTATAGTGGATAGCCACTTCCATTTGGAAAAGCTGGGGTGTAGGAGCTCAGAATGACCATAGAATGCACTCAGGACGAGAAAATGCAACGAAAAACAGAAGACTGACGCATTGAAAAGGATTGACTTCACGTTGTCTGTGGACAACAAGAGAGACCGTCTTGCAGAAGAGGGAAGACGGCTAGTGTACAAGATTATCTCCCGGTCAAGTCATAACTGCTTTGTTGCCTAATCTCTCATTTCCTTCGGCAACAGCTCCGTAACTTAAGTGTTACCACGGCTTACCAGTTATTACAAACTAAAGGCTCAATATAGAAACTCACGGAGTTTGAACACTTGAATAACGACGAGCGCATAGACAATCAAAGCCATGGCATTCGCTATCATCGTGGTGAGATTCCATATCTCCGACACAGGATCTGGTAGAGCCAGCGGTGGGTTACAGACCAGTATGACTGAAATGTTTTGAGAATTCATGCCCAGTTACAACCGCACAAGCCCTGGGGTCAACAAAATTTTGAGACAAGCTGTGAACACGAAAAATTCGCCTCAACCCTAGAAGATCCTACACTTCTACTTTTTGAGGATGAAAATGAGGTGTGTGCTCATTGCCAGCGGGGTGACACTTAAGCGTTGCGGAATATTTGGCCAAATCCGGCTTAGTGAGGGCATTTCACTGGCTCCCACCAGCCAGTGTCGATGTTTCCAATGAGGACCTGTAAGTTCTCGCGATGCTGCGCAATGGCAAGAGAATCGTTAACATATGATACTGACTGCAGGTGTTAACAAAGTGCAACTGAAACTTGACTTGTCAAATATGCAAAAGAACTTGGTGAAAGTGCCAAATGCTCCCCCCTGCTATGCCGAATAGAGCCAAAAATTTTGCAGAAAGTCATCTCTCTCAAAGCTGTCCCATATGACACGCCACATTCACAATCTTTGAATACAACGTGTCGTGAATGCCTGTAATCCTGAAACAAACCTTCGTCATTCATCAAAACTGCGCCTCCTATGACGAAACATGTTGCAACGCATACACACGGAATATGTACTAGAACACCATAGACAGGATATGGCATCAGTCGATGGCTGAAAATCTCCGGATAAGGATCGGTTCATACCTTGCGGTAGCGTCCACCATCGACCACAAACGTTTCAAGTCAGCGACTACGAACGTGTAGATATCGATGTGGCACCAGCGACCAATGGTACTTACTGTGTAGTAGTACGGTGCGGTAGCATACGCCACAATTTCACGAGTCCTACTCGACTGTCTGCTCCCTCCTACGTCCCATGCTCTCTGATCGCTGGTGGACGCTGGCAAACGCTGCCGCAAAGTATGAACGCATCCTAGCCTGCGGTATACGAATGAGGACCGCGCGGCACTTATACCCCATTGGATTGGGAAATCAAAACATAAAATCGAGCGCTGTCCATCTAGGGAGAAGGGGGGGGAGGGTAGACACTTATGTAGACTCTTCTCTGACAACGAACGAAAACGAAATGATGAGTTACAAAAATGACACCAGTTTCATTTTTTCGTAGTCAGATGACACAGTGCGATTGCTCTGACTGATAAGGAGAGTGGCAGCAGCAAGGTGAGGCACCTATATGCTGTGAGTCCGAGGACCAAGTCTGCCGTATGCTATAGGGGAAGGAGCACCGGGATGGGTAAACTGAATGCTGTTTGGGTGACTCTGCACGCTGAAAGGTTTTCCTAAGAATTCTAAATACCAGCTCGGAATATCAAGTGCTCTCTTCGCTGAGAATCTGAGCGGTGGTCTCTGGCTGATCATAATAAAGCGTGGTCAGTCAGTTGCGAAGCAGTCCCCAGTAATTGTAGAGGGGCTAACTCAGAAGGAGAAGAAACAATTTTCTGCCTAGACTATTGCAATGTAATCTTACGTGATAGGCGATACGAGAGAGAAGAGAATGTCGACAGGCAGTACTACCAGCATAACCGCCTGCATAGTGATTGCGGCTATATAAGGCGAGAGATAAGTAAAACAGTGCGACCGCTTCATCATTGACGAATTGGTCAGCATTCGCACTGCACTGAAGCTCTCGTATGCCAAGCCGATGCTTTCATATACGCATAGAAAGCACAATAGCATCCCTGAAAAATAATGAGCAGCGCTTTGAACATTATCTTTGTTTGCTTCCTTTAGAATCCGATTTCGAAGTGACTTTCCTGCGGTTCATTGAGGGCTTTCCGAAGACAAATTGTACAGTCACCTCCAAGCATGGCTCATATCATGTATGAAGTAAATGGGTCCGCGGCTGCAGTTGCGTGGCAGTTTCACCGCTCGAAAAAGCAGGAAACCTGCCGGAGGGATGGGGGGGGGGTGGTGGGCATTGGCAATTGAGTGTCGTGTTCATGCTCTGCACTCCCTATTCTCAAGTACATTTACAACGCTTTGTCAGCTTATTCGCAACTGGGTAGCAGTTCTAAAATATGAAAGCAGGAGCTACTTTCACTCTCTTGACATTGAAAATTTTTTGACAAGTGCTTTCCAAAACCATAGCATGAAATTTTGTTACAGGCCTTGTTGAAAGAGCGAAGAGCCCACCACCTCCAAACCTTAAAAGGGCCCATCACTTACATAAGACTCTCCCTGACAGCACTGAGCGTCACTTTGGCGCAACCACATCTCCCACTCAGTTTGTCGATGTGCCTAGTTTGGAGGGCTAATTCAGAGTCTTGATTAAATTCAGGGTGAACATGACATTGCTTCTCAGCGCTGACACAAACTTAGTGTCCAGATCTTGATAGGGATAACCACATATTCTTGAAGGCGACGCTCCTGATGGGAGATTTTGGACACTATGTTTCTAATACCTTAGTGTTGTAGCAAAGAATAGTGATCAAATAATGCCTGTATCACCTCGGCTCCTTAGTTTGCACAGTGAGTATTGATCCCACATCAATGGACAGACTCCACTCTTCCTCACCAGGTTTAAAAAGAACAATTTCCAGGTTGAAAAGTCTTGATTATAAGTGCTATCAACTACAGCATGTGTCGAAACTACATTCATAAACAATTTATTCCACCTTTCCAAGCGTTGAGGCTAATAAGTCAACCATAGCACTATCTGAGTTCGAGTAAGAAGACTGGATCTTTTCTGATGAAGACATTCTCGAATACGCAGTCTTTTTCACCCAGACGGAAGCCAATGTGTTGACGTGGTTTCAGCGGCACGCTGGAGGTTTTCACGTGCCTGCGATACACGCAAGCGTCGCTAGTGGAGCTGTTCGCGAGAAAGTTCTTCCTCCCATCGTTGTGGTTTCCAGCGAGTCATATTGTGTTCAGTTGGGAGGGGAGGTGAAAACTTTGCCTAAGAAAGTTGGCGTACTCCACCACAAATCACACACGTTCTTGAAACGTTGTGCAGCTGACAGAGCTCGAGATTATTCTAACACACTTAGTATGCACCACTTATGCAGCTTCTTCTAGTGCTTTGCACCTACTCCTTCCGTGGCCTTCGTCCAAATAAAGACCAGATGAAGATGCAACTTCTCAACCACTGTCACTCATAGTAAAACTTTTCTTGCTGACAAACCATTCTTCAGAAAAAACTCATTTCCACTCAAAATCGCAGAAGCTTTTGACTGCGATGCGTCTATGCACTGACATGCAGAGAGCAGCCGACGTAAGAAAGGCTCAGAGGGACGGGTAGTGCTGTTGATTAAGTTCCGCGCTAGCACTGTTCCAAGATGCTCTGTGTGCGTTCGTAGCAAGTGGGGAAACCTGCCTCTACCTCACCTCCACTCTAACGAATTATCAAAATTATCATGTTGGTGAACTACAACTTCGCACACTGCCCCTGATCTTCTTGATTTAGTAGAGAATTAAGTGAGTGAAGCCAGCCGCTACTGGGCAGTTTCCTGTTTTTAGCGGCTTTTTTTCGCTGCTGTGTATTCTCAGTGAGTATTGGAACAACTTCGGCACTTCGCATGAAGAAATAAACAGTTAAAATGTCCATGCTAAAACTTTTACCATGTTTTCGAGTGAAGAGTTTTGTATCTGACGACTGCGTAGATCAAACTGATATTTCCGAACAAACCAAGGACAGTGGCTAGGAATATGATGCAGGAAAGGAATATGAAGTGAAAGGCCATCTACCTGAAAAATAAGGTTGAATCACCATAGCACCTGTCTTCACGCTTATCGAATCGAAATTTGCTCATAGAAAACAATTTTTCTGAATTCTTGTGAGCTGCCAAATGTCCTAACAGTATGCTTGTTTTTCCGCTTTGCAAATTGTAGGATATGTAGTGAGTGATGAATTGCGAAATGAAAATAAATAAAGAAAGAGCACGAGATTGTTTCCCCAGAAGGGTTCATCAGTGAGGCGGTACTTCCTCTTGTGCCCCTCCCATCGGACAGAATTGCAACTTCTAAGAACAACTTATTTTAATTTGCCACTACTAATCTACACAAGGCTTGTCCCTATGGACTTTTATAAGGCAAAGGTATAGTACAAAAATTGCCAAGGCAGGCTTTTTGTATTTTTAAGCGGCAACACACATATCGAAGGCACAAATACCGTAAAACTACAATTTGGGCTAAGATCAGCGCCTGCTGGGCGTTTCAACATTGAACAACCTGAACCTCGATTCATTCTTTCACTTCCAAAAGTGGTCATAGCTGCGTACTTCTGTTCGGAATCAGGGTAGCGTCAGTGAAGCACTTCCGCCTATGGAATGGTGGGGGCGGCTTGATGCACAATCACTCTTTTTTGTTCGCTGCGTTCGCTCAGAATGAGATGGAGACGCTAGTATAGTTGCGTATTGCAGTGGTGATCGCATACAGATTAGTTTGAAAATGTTGGGCATCCATCACTCTCAGCGGCGGGGCGAAGGAGATTTTTTTAGTCAGTTTTTATACAATTTTCCTGTAAATAAAATATGCCAATGTTGTAAGGCAGGAAAAGCTCGAGTGTCAAATACGGATGGGCAATTGTGGCATTCTGACATTATTCACTGACTTTCCAAACGCTACGTTAGAGGGCAGTGCCGCGAGCCACTCAAAATTTCCCGGCTTCTTCGTGGAGCGGTAGACTGGTTCGGCGATGATGGGCAGCGCAGCGAACTGGGCAGGCACTTTCATGGCGCAAGAGCGAGTGAGAAACTGACTCGTTCCTTCATTGGCCCAACCCAATTTAATGGGCCTGCCCGTCGCTCTAGTCAGTCATAATTACAGTAGACCTGCCAAAGGACATGGGCAGGGACACTGTAGCCAACAAGAAATCAGCTGTGATCAATTGCGTGAACCATATCGGCCACAACACAAGATTTCTTATTGCCACATTTCAAGGTCATCCAAGTGGAGCATTAGACATCAGACGGCCCCCGACTCCCGCATGTCAGAAGTCCCATTGTCGGCAATGCGAACCCATGGAACTTGGAGTGCTTCCCAGAGGGCTGAGTGATCGGCTCTCTCAGCTCTCACGATGGAATCGTACAAAGTTAATCATAAGTATAAACCCACTGCAAAATGTCAAAATACTGTTTGAAACTGATTCGGATGAAAACACATTGACTCCATCGGTCAGAGGCTAATTGACCATAACTAAGAGCGCTTCTTACCATCAATCACTGGAACGAGTGAGGATTTTGGACGCTCAACTTGCTTATGGAGTGTATCGTGTACTCACCCCCGCAGTAGACGTGCCTGCGTATTTACATTATTTGGACGTGGCAACGTGGCGGTGGCTGCGTTTTTGGTGGAATATTTTTATTCTGGATTAGTTGTGTCTTTGCCCACCACAGGACAAGTAGGAGTCTGCCTCGAGGTGGGCGGAGCCGGACAAAAATTCTCTAGAACGGTTCCAGAACACACCACACACCACCGGAAAAAAAGTGGATTAAGGTCAGCAGAGGGTCGTCGGTGAGGATTGTGGGGGTGGGCGGAGTCAA